TGTCATGGTAAACTTGAATTGACTGAAGAACAAGAATAAGAATCGAGATTAAACAAGTGACAAGTATGGACATGGAATCATATTGATATTATTCAAAACTTGTGCCAACTCAAAGGAAAGGAAAAAAAGTTGATGAAAAAAAGTCAAAGTAACAAAAGTAAAATTTACTTTGAAGGTAAAAAATGGTCGACTTGCCAAGTCGATTAACATTGCGATTTTCAATTTCAGTTAATTACGCTAATTGAAATATTAATTGACATTCAAAAAGTACACTGATAAGGTTGTCAACCTGATCATTATCATCAGTTCATTAATGGAACCTTCTCTCCCTGTTGAACACTGAAAATGTTTAATAACCAAAACTGGATAAAATGCTAATTGATAAACATATGAAATGATGGACAAGAAAGATTAATTAGTTGACTTGAATGATAATAATGAGCATAATTATTAAACTTTACAACATTACTGATTGTAAAGTTAATTGAGGTTCAATTATCAAATGGTTTCAAGTTGAACCTCGAATTGAACTGATAAATGAAAGGTACAAAATTGTGGCCAAAAAATGCGAGACAATTTTTTACTCTCTCAACAAGTTTTTTTTGCTTCTTTCAGGTCCATTCAGCTTTTGGCAAAAAATGGATGAAAAGATGATGGATGAAGAAATGATGAAAAATTATCCCATTTTGTTGGATGAAAGGTTTCAAGTGGAAGAAGATTTTCTTTGGCGAAAAATGTGAAAAGTTTTGAACAAAATTTTTGGTGAAAATTTTGACGAGTTTTTGCTTGCTTTGAGCTTTGAGTTGTGAGTAAAAACAATTTGTAATCAAGTTTGTTTTCTTGCTGAATCAATTTGAGAAATGAACAATTATTATCATGTGAAATGATAAGGTTTGATGGACAGCATGAAGAAAAAAAGAGAAAAGATTTTATATGAAATAAAAGTCGAAAAGGATGAGAAAAATGGAAAAGAAAGAAAAAAGTTAATACGAAAAGATGAAATGATTTATAAAGAAGTGCATTTTAATATAAGTGAAAGATGAGGATGGACATGGATCCTGTTATTGGTTAGATGAAGCAGATTCTCGTAAATCAGATTAGCCTAGTTTTGTTCCGGTTTTCATGGAGAAAAAAAACTTTACTCTTCAATTGTTCACTCATCATGATGATCATTATTATCACCATTATGAGGCTGATGAGGAGAAAATTGTTTTGGATGTTGACTGAACAAAATGGACCAACTTCTTGATGACAACAATTTAGAGCGATTGTCCTTGTTTGAGTTAATCAGAAGAATGATAAAATCGTCAAAATGACTCTCAATTTTGATTCCAAATTTTGAATGGTTCAATGTTTTGACAAAGTTTTAGGGTGACAAATGGATGCTGAGAACTTTTAACATGTCTGCAAATTTTTTGATCTTTACTTGATTTTGACTTGTGATGCATCAAACTGAGGCCGAATAACTATAGCCAATGAAAACGGTCTCCGCTCGATTTAAAATCAGTCGCTCTGGGTGTTACAGACGGTGTACAATATTGCTGAAAAAACTATGTTAGTAGTATATACTAAAAGTAGTATATAGTAAAAGTCCTACTTTGGGCCAACTTGTCCACTCTGGGCCTAAGCTTGTTAAAGATTGTATGGCTTTTTTAACTGTGGTTGTAATTGAAAAAGCTTTTCAAAGCTTTTTGAAAGAATCAGAGTGGCTTTTTGTAGCAATTGAATGAAAGTTTTATTATTTTGAAACTGAAATGAATAATGAAAGTTACTTCAAATTACATGAAAAAAATAATTTTAACAAAAATTACTGCTCGTTTTCCTGTTTTCTTTCGATGGCTTGCATATAGTGTTTAATAAATTCCTCTTGAGGAAAGCCAACTAACTTTTCCATACGTTGATTTAAATACTCAAGGTATGTGTCCAGGTTGTTCTTTTCTTCCTCTATTTCTTTCTTTTTCTTGATAGCTCTTGTTAGTTTGGAGGCTAATTGTTTGTTTTCTGTTGATAGGATCTCCACCTCCTCGATCCGGTCCTCTAATTCGTCTCCTAGATCCATCACTTCTTTTTGAGTTTGATTAAGCCATAGCTTAAGACGGTGTATCCGTTCATTCATGGCAACTATTTCATCTTTGTTCTTTTCATTTAAACTGATATATTGGAGCGTATTGTTAATGATTTTAGTTAGCTTAGAGTTAAAAAGCTAACGTGAATATCATTAATCAAATATATGTAGCTTATTATAGCATATAGGCTTTAACTAGCGTATGGCCCAGAGTGGACAAGTTTGGCCCAGAGTGAACAAGTTGGCCCAGAGTAAGACTTTCATATACTACTTATGTTTACTTTCGTTTCCAATTATATATCCCACTAGGGGCTACTTTGCTACGAAAATAGGGCTTTGTTCGAAATTCTCACATTTGTCACACTGTATATTACGAAATCATGAATTTCATGACTATTCTTATCCACTGAATTGAAGATTGAATTTCATTTAAATTGTTAAGATTTAAAAGAACACGAATAATTTGTTCAGCGAATCAACTTTTTCTTTCCTGATTGACAGTTCTTTCTTCCTCTAAACGAACGTTTATCTGTATTAAACGATTGTTACTGTTCTCTGAATTTTCCTTCAATCTTTCAAGACTGAATCAACAGTAAGGCTGAGTGGTTGAGATGAAAATTTTGCTTCACATTTGAATTGTAAAGTGAAAATTTTGTTTATCGTCGAAACTTTTGGGTTCAACAAAAATGCAAAATTGGTTTACTTATAGAATAGAAAGAAAAGAACTTTTTTTCCCTTCTTTTACCATCTTCTCTTATTATCATGAAATGAAATATGATCAACCATAATTTTAAGCTGTAACAAATTTTACCAACAATAATATTCAATTCGGCTTGTTATCAAATGAAATGAGATTCATGGTGTTGGCAAAAAAAGAAGTGAATAAAAATTTTCTTTCCTTAATAAGAAAAATCTCGTCTTTCATTCCAATTTCATGATTGAGACAAAAACAGATGAGAATCGAGATGAAATTAGAGTCAAACTGAGACGCCAACAACTTTATCTGACCTCAATTGTATTCAAAGTCAGCTTCATCTTGATAATAAAAGACTGAAGTTCAAGTTGAATTCTGAGATGAACTGAAGTATAGAAAGAAATTCAGATTCTTCTCTTTTTGTGTCCACTTTTGTTCAGCTTTTCTCTATTGTAGCTCATGATTCTTCTGAATTTGTCAGGAAACTTGGCTTCTCATGAAGTAAAAAAGAAATGGAAAAAAATTTGCTTTTTTGCTTTTTGCCATTCTTTTCATTTCTTTCATTAAAATTAATATTTACACTTGAAGTTCAATGGAAAGATAAATATTAAATAAGTTGACATTTTTATTCAGATAATAAAGTTAATCATAACTGAGCAACATTCAAGAACCAATTCCGGTTCATCAATTGAATATGAAATTCCGTTATTTATTCGCAAAGGAAAAACAAGAATCGTTTATATCATCATTTATATGTTTCCCATCCAAGTTAACAAATAATAATAATAAATTGTTATCATCAAGAAAATGTTATCAGCAACATGTAATATAAACACAATCATAAAATATCATTATTTTCATCTTCGATTTTTTTCAATCTTCACTTTACTTGAAAGTAAAGCACAACTCGAGTAAAATCAATTTACCTTCAGGGTAAATGAGTTGAGTAGCTTTTCCATGGAAATGAAAAAATACGCTTTTTATTAAACAATTGGAAAGGTGTTGTTACCTGAATCTTCGGGGAAACTGATTTTTACTCTCTTTTAATGGCATTAATACTAATCTTGTAATGCCTTTTAATTATTTAATTTTCATGCATCACAGAGTGAAACTGATTCATCAACAATGCCAATCTGTTTTTGTTTCCTCTATTTACCTTTTGTTCAGAACTTTTTAACCTTTAATCTTGTCTTTTGTTCAAGAGAGCTTTGAAAAGCCATGACAATTGATGAGCTTATTACTTCTTTCATTTAAACTCATTTCACGACTTGTTGAATGCTCAATCGGAAAGTATGCTCATTCCCAGCTCAAACAATGTACGCTATTTAATCACTAGTTATCAACCATTTCAATTGAAGACTGATTTAATCCGGACAAGAAAAATAAGTAAAATATTGTTTTGGAAAATGAAAAATGAATAATCGAAAAAAAAGATTCGAGTTGAGTGTTGCACGAAAACTTTATATTAGCAATATTAGTTCAATAATGAGTACATCAACTTCTGGTTGTCACTTCAATCAACCAATCTTTCAAGATATAATATTTGTTTGAATCAATTCTATTCCATTCTTCAAATATTGATTGCTTGAGATTTAACTATAAATGAGAAATCAACTTGAATTGGATTTGGCGGTTCTCATGAAATCCATGATGTCCTTGATACTGAACTTATCTTTATCATATTGTACTTTCATCTCGTTTCATTTTACAATCTTTTCCGTGTCTGTGTTGCCAAGCAGCTAAAATGTAGAGGCAATAAATAGTACTGATTAATTAGCTGTCATTGGAAATTTCGAGATTCGGAAACTCAGTCTTTGACCATAATTTTTGATAAAAAATGATAAAAGTTTCATGGTTCTTTTGTGTAAAATACACCTTCCGGTAGTGCCAGTTTAGTACAATAAAACTTTTCTGGTTATCAATCAGTCTTTTTCATGCCTAAGATGAATTGAATCTTCGTCAATCTCCAAAGGCACAACCCATCTCGTACAGTCGTAAAACTGTACTCTTCATTGACTCAGCTTAACTATTGTATCGATACAATGTTCGTATTCTTTGACCGCACTCAGATGTTAGTCCAGTTTCAGACTTTACATAAGTGCTAATGTTTTGCAAAAAGTAGAAATAAAATTTTCTCCTTTTTACCAAAACAAAAGTGAACATAAAATAAGATTGTAATATGATTGTAACAGTGATGAAACTAGTTGACAATTACAATAGTAAATGATTGAAATGAATTACCTGAAAATAGACGACCAATTTGCACATGAGGTCACCAAAGAACCAGGTGTTGGTTATATCCCATAAAACTGTGGGTGGCAAGCAAATTAATATTACCAGGAAATCGGCAACAGCAAGATTGACGATAAAGTAATTTGTAACATTTCGTAGGTGGCGATTACGGTAGACAAAAAGGCAAATCAACGCATTTCCAGTTAATCCAATGATAAAGACTAGAGTATGAAGAGTTATAAAAATCCATTCATAGGGACGAGGAATAATGTTTGACTGTAATTCCTCTTCAAACCAGCACGATGAATAATCTGAGCAAACATAATGATAAAACAATGGCAATAAAACAAAAGCAGGAAAAAAGAGCAAATGAAAAGTCTAATCCTTTTTATGTCAAATGTAAACTTGTGAGTTGATTTCATTTTCATCCTTCATTTTATCATCACAACAGTTGACACAACTGAACCTTTTTTTGTCAACATTTAAACGCTTTCATATTTACTTACTTCCATGCTCTTTGAAACAGATTAGATTTGATGTTAAATTGTCATAAATTGGAGTCTCAATATCAACACTGATATTTGAATAGCTGCTGATTAACTGCATCTTGATCCACTTTGGATAGGATGAGGGATAAACAAAGCTCAATTTGACTCTTTGGCACAATTCAAGTTTCCAATTTAATTGATGCAAATCACTTTAAATCCATGTTGAAGTGGATCCATATCATTTCACGGGAAAACATTCAAGTGTAACACATTATAAATTTTATGGTGAGTGATGAACATGATTCACATTGATTACCTGTTGAAAAGAAGAAATAAAATGAATTGCCAATCAATTGATAAAAATACTAATTGCACAGATTGTAATTGAAATCAACGTCTTTTTGAGTTTTACTTTGATCTGATACTGATGAGGTAATAAGTAGGAATGAAGGTGCAATTTACAATTAACTCGATGAAGCTAAATTTTATGAGTTGGGTGTGCGAGTTGGATGGAAATTTTAATTTACATTTCGAAAGTAAAATGGCTTTTCTTTGGATTCGCAAGGATTGATAAGAGCTCTCTGTTTTTGTTTCATTTGCTTAAGATATATCATCTTTTGATAATCCGATGAAAATCCATTGAAATAAGGAAAAAATAATGGGAATGGGAATTGGAAAATGAGCAAGAATGAGAAACAAAAAGTGAGAAAGGGTTCAAGGAATTTAAATAAAGAAGTGAATATATTTTCCATTAATTTCTCTTCTTGAGTTGCCAATGCATTTCATGGTATAATCTTCGGAAAATTATGCAGATATTCATTGAGTTCAACTATTTCCAATACAATGATACAAAAAATGAAACTATTTTTCACTTCGAGTAAGCAAAGAAATCAGATGAACAGAATTTCAAGTTCTAAAATCATTCAAATCATTCTTCTATGTTCGCAACGGCGAATTTTAGCAATTCTAAAAGCTAATATTTAATCAAAAACTAAAAACCTAAGATAAACACTGGCAAAGGCCTATGCAAATAACTTGAAACGTTTTTAAAATCAAAGAGTTTATTGTGCTAATAATAAAAAGAGAAAAAGACAGATCTTAATCTGGAAAATTACTGTTTAAGTTGTCTTTTGGTTCTCAGACCTAAAGTTACATGGTCAAAATGACCCTTTATATTTGATCATAGCTGCGCATAGAATTTAAGTTTTGATGATAAGTAATGGACAATTTAAAAATGAATCAAATTTTTCCGACGCCTTTTCCTACCAATGGTCCAAAGACTAGTGAGGAATTGGATCTACTCGACATCTCCACCAATTGCACCCTTTTTGAAGGAGTCGCATCTTTACTTTCGATTCACCAGCTCTTATACCTCAAAATGCATAAAAGGTAATTCTCATGGTTGCGTTGCAGATATATCAATTCAAGTTAAGCAATTAAAGAGAGCAAGTAGAATAAACAAGCATTTTAATCAATTCTTGTTACAGCATAAGAATGAATTAAGAAAATATTCCTATATAATTCTAATTTTAATTTAGAAATTGTATAAAAAGCGCATAAAATTCTGCCGTACAATATATTTCTCGTTTATTTTATATGTATTAATAAGTAACAGTGAGTTAGGAATAGGAAAAGAAAGAGAAAAAGAAGAGATGAATGAGAGAAAAAGAAAAGAAAGACGGCAGCTTTGTGTAGGCCTCAACAAATGGATATACCCAACACCATAAGACTGCTGCTATACGATTTCTCGCTTTCTGCAAGGACAGGGTCATAATAATGATCTACATATTACGAGGAGCTTTAGCTGGCAACTTCAATACTGACATGATATCATTCACTTCCACAGCAATTCAAACAATTTAGTGTAAACTTAAAGTATTAAAATTTGAAATCTTATTGCCCTTGAGTTTTATTCAGTGAGACAAACAAAAGTAGTCATTCAAGAAAATTGTACGGATGATGAGCAACAGATGACGCTTTACAGGACGACGTTCATCTACCACCATTTCAACTCACTTTTATTTGTCTCAGGTTTGATAGAAATTAAACTGCATGCTTGCTCATCATCAGGATAATCCAAGTTCAAGCCCAGCCTGAGACATGTACTTCACCGTCTTCAATTAATGAAGATATCGCATAACCTAGCCGTGGACCTAACCTAACTAGCAGTATATAAACCTGCTAAATAAAAGCTCTGTGTTCTGAGTCTTTCTACAGAATACAGCGCTTTTTTTCATATTCTGTATTAAATATCAAGTTCGCGTAAAAATAATGAAACTATTCGATATTCCAAACTAGTTAAATTGTCATAATTGCACATTTTGCTGCATTTGTAAGTGGCTCAAAAGTGATTTATGATAAAAAGTACTGAGTTATTCCATTGAAATATTCACAACTTAAAACTTTCAATTTCGATCCATAGCTAATGAATAGAAAACATGAAAACCTTTAGAACTAACAATTCAACTCAAAAAGTTAGCACATCTAATAACAAAAAATCACATACAATGTAATTCTGAGTTCAGCTCCTTCTCTATTATCCTCGCTAAAAGAGATAACTTGTCCGTGAATTGAAGTGACCTCTTGTACAGAAACATCAAATTTTATTTCCCTAAATAAGTTTATAAACTTTTTAATTGCACTAATAGACTCCAATTAATGTTCCTACAAAATCCCTACACTTGAAGCGAAAGTCAAAGTTTTTGCAGTACGTCCAATCTCGTCGAAATAATTTCATGCATTTAAAGACACCAACTCGCCGCTTTTGAGTGGATAGCGTTAGATGCCTTTAACTTCAGAAAAATCAAAGTAACTCCAACAAAACCTATCACATTTTACCTATCGAAAAGGTCCAATAAAACTTCTTATCGCTTATTAATGAGCTTCCCGATGTAATCACTATTGACTTGGACACTTATTCATATAATCAACTAATATTTACTCTTCTCATCAATCATCATATTTATTGGAATAAACTGAATTTAAGGTGAATTTACATTTGATTATCATGTATTATTACAGTATCCATCTGCCTTGGATTGTAACCGTAAAGTTGAATTAATTTAGTGGTAAAGCCAAGAGTATTTAATTTGACAAAAATGTTAAAGTTGACAAATTTCAATAGCTGAAAACAAATGTTACTTGAAGCTGTTAGTAAATTAGCAGCAAAATTGAGTTATTACCACTCAAATGTATTTATTTCATTTCTTATTTGGAGTATGTTATTATACATCATCTCAGATAATTAACCATCAACTTCACAAATGATAGGTTATTGCATTGACTTCATCTCAATATTGTATTATATTTTCTCCCCATTCTTTTCTTTTATCCTTCTTCTTCCTATTAAATGTTGAACATGAACCATGGTAAAAATAATATGGTAAATGTATTATCTGAATCGTGTTGATGATCAATTATTCTTGGTCAATTTAATTCCCTCAAGGAAATTCAAGATAGAAAGGAAAATGAATGAGAAAAGGAAAAGATTTGCTCTTCAATGGAATCACTGTAAATCGTTGAAAGAAGCAAAAAAAAAGAATCACAAAATTTTCAGATTATTCCTTTAACCTTTTTTAACCGAAAATCTTTATATTCCTTTTATATCATCATCAAAATCATTAGCGATAATATTCAACTGGGAATAATCTATTAAATAATCGATAGCACAATTAAATCGCCTGAATATGATGAGAGAAGGAAAAAAAATCTAGAAAAAAACTCATCACACTTTTACATATTGCATGTGATAATTGTTTAGAAACATGAGTTATTCATTTTAAAGTGAAAAACTTGTTTCTATCTGCTGGGAGTGAAAAATATTGAACCAACGAAAAACAAGGAATTTCAAAATTTTCTTTATCGATTCACTAAATTTTTAACGAAACTTTGTGTTGCCATTTTTAGTTTCAACTTGAAAATTCATATTCTTTTCATTATTTCATCAATTTTCAGAATTTGCTTTTTTTCTATTTTCGCCACTAAAATATTGATGAAGATCAAATTTCTGAATCATTAAATGATAATTTATCTTTTTCTTCTCGCTATTCATCATAATGTTGGAACAGATAAATTTGCTCATCTTGAACCTTTTCTTTTTGCTCTGTCATTATCATGATTCTGTTTAAAATGATAAAGAAATAATTGACAGAAAACAAATGTTGGCTTGAAATAAACATTTTTCAATCAATTCGTTTGGGAATTTCATTTTCAATTCCAAGCTTTTCCACTCTCCAAATGGTATAATAATCATGAAATAAACTATTCAATTTCAACAAAATATTTTTTTCTACCTTTGAGTTCAGAAGAAAAAAATCAAAAAGAAAAATATTCAACCGAAAATTGGAACAAAATTTTCACTATTTGCCATGAAAAATTGTTTCTTCACCTTTTCTATTTCACCCAATTTACCAATATCAACAGTTACTGTTCCTTTATCTGACTGATATTGGGTCATGTAAAGACAATCAAGAATAAGAGATTCAATATTTTTTTTGTCTTTTTTCATGGAATTCGGTTGGTAATAAGTAATAACATGTTAATGATTAAAGAGTCTTACAAGTAATAATACAGTAATATAGATTATAATGGATGCTCAAAGGTATAAAGAACTTGGTTTACCCTGAAGCGTTCATTCTCACTCCCAGCCATTCCATGAACTGGATTACACATTTCTTGGTTATTCCCATTTAACACTTGCATTTGGCTCATCAAACTCATTTTCATTAATATCTTGCTCATCATCATTATCATCACTTTTACTTTATTGCGTCAATATTATGCTTCAATAGATTGTGTCTGGGAATGAGAAAAGAAGCAGAACCAGATGAAAAAAATTCAAATAATATCGATATGATATTCTCAATGGAATCTTTCTTTAACCTTTTCACCTCTTTTCCTGATTAAATCTGAAACCATGGAAAGAAAGAAATTTTTGATACTTTCCATTGCATAAGGTCTAACATTTTATCCGAGCCATCATGGACACTTTTATGAAGAGTTGAATAGTTTTGAGCAAAAAAATGGAAACCAAGAAAAAGACGCAATTTCAAAATGTCATCAAGTCGGTCAAACAAACGATATGAAAATTGAATCTTGCAAAACTCAATCTTGAAATGAATCAAAGATTAAATTGAAATGAGGAAATGTTTCACTCATAAAAATGTCTTCCAAAGGAAAATCTAACAATTCTGGAACGATTATACCGAGCAAATTATTTTATCTCTGAAATAAGTATGGATTTATGGTCTAGAGCTATGATTTTGAAGATTATTAGGAACATATTAATCATGCTTATCATCTCTATTGCTGGTGATT